TATTCTTTGAATATACTGTAAAATCAAGACGGTCAGGAAAAGGTTTGATAGCAAAAATGAAAGCATTTCTTGGTATACTTATTTATTTTCTTAGAAGATACTGTGTGAAGGCGGTGATTTTAGAACATTAATGGGGGTATTAAAGCGATTAAATGTACCGTCACCTCCAAGCAGAAACTGATAAAGAGTTGTTCTTTTTTTTAGTATACACCTTATCAAAGTGTTCTAAAGTTTATGGTGAAAACATTCTCTACTAAAGATAATCTTTGTAGAAAAGTCGTATATTTTAAAAGCATGTTTATTATCGTTAAAAAACTTTAAAAACAAAACTTATTAGAACCTCCAGGTAGAAAATAAAAATATAAAAATAATAGTTGCATTATTAAAGGTCATTATAAATTACTAATTATTTTTAGATTTAAATATTCCAAAATAGTTATTAATGAAAATGTTTAATTGTTGAAAGTATAAAGAAAGATTATGTTCCCTACTAAAGATAGTCCTTGTAAAATAGTCTTTTAGTTTAGACATGTCCCGTATAGCAGTGTAAGGTTGATTTTAATGTAGGCAACAACCTTTATCATAACAAGGCTTCTAAATGATTAGCAAATAAACCATGCACTCTCGAAGCAATGTTAAATTTAATTATGCTAGTTTACCCGCTGTGAGGTTTACATTAAACTTTCAAAACAACTCTGATTGAATCTGCACTTACACAACAAGACTAGAAAAACCTTCCGAAATCGTGAGTGAAAGGTTTTATTTGAGAACCTCAACAAAGCTAGGAAAAAAAAGACAAAAATAAAGTTTACAGTAAAATTTAGAAACTGTGCATTTTTGTAAAGAAGTTTTGCATGCTTTTATTCAATTACTAAAAAAAAAGCTTGGAATAGCTTATATGTACTAAGCTATTGGTACATATATGATAATTGGCAGCTTTTTATGCTGCCAACTATTAAGTTTAATAAAAGTCTTTATTAATTTCCAGTTACATAAAGATTTCTACCTAATAATTAGTTATAAAACTTTTTCTAAACCTCATAATGATCTTTAATAGTTAAGCAAACTAATAAATATTCATATCGGGTACTGAATTCTTCAGACGTACGTATTTATTAATGGTGGCAATCTTTGTAGGAATGACGTTTGCTTTATAAGCAAATCAGTATCTTTGAACTGTAATTAAAGAATCAAAAACCGTAAAACTTGCAAGCTTAACGCTGCTAAAAATTACCTCTACTAATAAGTACTACTAGTTTACCGCTTCTAATAAAAAGAACAACAGCAAATAATTGTCACTGTAGATAAAATCCCTTAGGATGCAACTGATGAATACCACTACATATCCTTTTGTAATAATTACCCTTATCTAACCACCATTGAACGTAATTACTACCCTGCAGATGCGAAAAAAGAATTCTTCTGTCTTAACTATTAATTGATTAATTAGAATAACAATAACAATAAGAAAGTAATTCAAAATAAGAAACAGTAATTCTACAATAAGAAATTAATTTCATTTGCTTTTAGTTCAAGTTTTAAAAAACTTTAAAACTTCATACTCAAATTTATGTAAACTATTTATTAAATAAAATGGATTTTAGCATATATATATATATATATATATATATAAGCGCCTTTTATTCAATATTATA